TGCAGCGTCCCGCCGCGGGGGAAGACGGCGGCGCGTCTTCGTCCGGCGGCGGGACGCTCAACGCGGAGAAGATCGACGCTATGATCGACTCGATGATCGACGAGTACACCAACGTCGGCGACGTCAAGGAGGCGGTGCTGTGCGTCAAGGAGATTCAAAAGGAGGCCAAGGATTCCGCCGCGGCGATTACGTCGTGCGCGTCCAAGCTGGTGTCGCACGTCGTCGACCTCTCCCAGGAGAAGGCGCGCGACCTCGTCATCGCGCTCCTCGCCGCGATGGTCCACGACTGCGACGTCCCCGACGTGGTCATCTCCACCGCGTTGGGCGAGCCGGTGATGGCGTTGGACGACATCGCGATCGACGTGCCGATGGCGCCGAAGCTCCTCGGCGTCATGACCGCGCGGCTGGTGTCGGCGAACGCGTTGGACGCTGCGTTCATCAAGACCTCCGCGCAGGAGATCGAGGACGTGCTGTACCGCCGCGAGTTCGCCGCCGCGGCGTTTAAGGAGTTGAACGCGGAGGGCGCGAAGGGCGCGAAGGCGACGGTGGACGCGGCGGGGATCGACGTCGCGAAGCTTTTGGGCGGCGACCCGGAGTTCGACTCTCCGATCGGCGAGTTTCTCGAGAAGCAAGGGCTGAAGGAGCTGTGCTGATGCTGATCGATGCTGATCGATCGGCGACATATATAGTCGACGCGATCGATCGGCGAGGCGACGAACGATAGGGTTGGTTGGGCGGGACACATACGAAGGGAATAAGGGAGAGGAGAAGGGAGAAGAAGGGAACGAGAGGAGATCGCCGCGCGCGCGCGAAGGATGAAACGAATCGCTTCCTCTACACACCCGCGTTTCTCCGCCCGCGCGCGCGTTCGTTCGCTACCCGCGCACCGCCCGCCCGCCCGCGTCGCGTCTTAAGTCTTATGTCGCGTCACGTCACGTATCTATACCCCGGCCGTTCGTATCGCGGCATCCTGCCCGCGTACGACGCGTCGTCGAGGTACTTCGCCACCCCCGGGAAACGCCTCAGCTCGTCGTGGAAAACGCCGAGCGCGGGAAGCCTGAGGGCCAGAAATTCCAATATCAAAAAAGGTTCACCGGTCAGTTGAAAGGGAATGCGATCGAATGTTGAAAGCGGGAGATGGGTGAAAAACGTTTGTATAGAACGCACCCGAACCGCTCGGCCCAGTCCGGCGTGTGGCACGGCTTCGAGAGCTCCAAACGTCCAGCAGACCAAAAGCCCATAGCCATCGAGAGCTCCAACAGCTCGACGAACAGCGCGACGTCGACGTACGACGGCGCCGCGGTCCCGCCGAGCCACCCCGTCTCGCTTCGCGTCAGAATCTCCTCGAAGTGACCCAGCGTCGCGATCGATCGCTCGGCGACGGAGTAATCGTTCACGCGACGCATCGCTCGATACGTCGTCGGCTTCGCGTCGTCGCGCAACCCCGCGGGCGCGTCGCGCAGCGCGCCCGCGGCGTAGTGCTCGCCCTCGTGCGTCACGCCGTTGTTGCGCATCGTGGAAAAGTAAAAGGCGTAGAGGGAGTCGATCGTCGCGCGCGCGCGGACGTCGTCGCCGCCGTCCAATCCGAGCCGCGCCGCGAGGTGCCGCGTGATCGCCGTCTCTTGCCCCACGCGCAGCGGCGACCCATCTCGCGCGTCCGCGACCGCGGGGTCGAGGTCGCACAGCACCGGGAGCTTCCCGAAGCACCCGACGCGATGCTCGGACGCCATGCGCGGCTTCATCGCGCGCGTCCACGGCTCGAACCCGACGCACTCGAACTCGTACGGCGTCTCCGAGAGTTCCAAGAGCATCCGCGGCACCTCCGCGCGGTTCCGCATCGGCATGTACGTCAGCCTGAACCTCGGCGGCGCGGAGGCGTCGCCGGACGCGCCTCTTATACGCGCGTGCGCGGTCGTGCGCCACAAGTCTTCGGACGCGAGGAGCGAGGCTCGGAGCTCGGCGGGGGCGACGAGGGGTGGGAGGAGGAGGAGGTCGGCATTATTCGCATTATTTTCCGACGACGACGACGACGACGACGACGCGGACGCCGCCGCCGCGCGCGCTCGGACGGCGGCGGCGGCGACGCGGCGGCGGGACGCGCGCGGCGTCGCGCGCGTCGGGCGCGATGCCGCCGCGCTCGTGGACGCGTCGGCGGCGAAGGACGCCGAGCGCGCGGGTCGCATGACGGAGTGACGAGACGACGAGAACGTATTCACTTCAACGACACGCCGTCTCGCCACGTCGCCACTTCGCGCGCGCACCGAGCTCGTCGCCCCCCCTCCCCCCGTGCCCCTTCGCGCGCGCCGGCCGCGCCCGCTCGCGATGCGCGCGCACGCGCGCCGCGTCGCGCGCGCCGCGCGCGCCGCGTCGTCGCGCGCTCACGTCGCGTCCACGTCCGCCTCATCCGCGCCCGGCGCGACGACGAAGACGACGATCGGCATCGAGATCGTCGGCACCCGTCGTCGCGGTCTCGGGATCGCCGCGTCGTCGTCGTCGCGCGCCGCGTTCTCCGCCGCGCGCGGGTTCGCCGCGGCCGCGACCGGCGGCGGCGGCGGCGGCGGGCAAGGTCCGGTCGGGTGGAAGTCCCTCGCGGTCGCGTGCGTCACCGGCGGCGGCCTCCTGTACGTCTACGGCGAGCAGCGGAATAAGGTGCGTTCTATACACTGGTCCCCATACGACCGCGTCGGCGTGGTGAACGCCGATCCTTAAGGACTTTGCCTGGCGATTCTCTCCGCCCACCCCTCGCTTTCAATACCCGCCCTCGGCGCCTTTCAACTCCGCTTCTGACGCCTTTCAACTCCACCCCGACATCGCTTCATATGGAACGACCCAAGCGACTGGCGGCGATCAAGGAAGGGCCGAGCGCGGGGAAGGCGTCGATCGGCGGGCACTTCACGCTCAAGTGCGCGAACGAGAACGGCAAGGCGTTCAGCACGACGAGCCTGAGAGGGAAGTTCGCGCTGCTGTACTTTGGGTTCACGATGTGCCCGGACATCTGCCCGGACGAGGCGCGTTCGCTCGACGACTTTCTTCATCTCCCGGCGTTCGTTTTCTCTCCGCCCGACAACCCCTCGCTTCCAATCCCGTCACACCTCGACGCCTTTCAACTCCACCCCTGACGCGCCTTTCAACTCCACCCCGACGTGCTTCGCTCGCTTCGCTTCGCACCGTACCGACCCTCCCTCGACGCTCATCAGCTCGAGAAGATGGCGGAGTGCGTCGACCACGTGGCCGCCGCGGGGAAGGAGATCGTCCCGGTGTTCGTGTCGATCGACCCGGAGCGCGACACGGTGAAGCGCGTGAAAGAGTACGTGAAGGAGTTTCACCCGAAGCTGATCGGGTTGACCGGGAGCGTCGACGCGTGTAAGAACGCGGCGAAGAAGTATCGCGTGTACTACCACAAGACAGGGGAGGAGGACGACGCGGATTATTTAGTCGACCACTCCATCATCATGTACCTCGTCGACGACAACGGCGATTTCGTGACGTTCTACGGGAAGAACTTCGAGGCGAAGGCGATGGCGGACGCGATATTGGAGCAGATGAAGCGGTTGGGGCGGTGACTTTTGTTGTTTAATGTCGCGAGGTAGTCTGGTTGTCGCGCGAGGAGTACTTTATTCACACGCGAAAACATCCATCTGAGAGTCTGGTAGACAGGTCGTCTCGTCACCGAAAGGGTTTGATTTCTTATTCGCGAAGGAAGGGGGCAATGACCGGGGTGTACGTGAGAACGACGAGACTGAAGGTCTTGGGGAGGAGCCCGATTTAGGCGGCGTGATCGTGTACAGGTAGTTGTTTTTTGCCTTAGCGAGCAGATTTCTAGGGCTGCACGTCACGGAGACTTGACACACACACCGAAAGCGAGTTCGCGAACGTCACTCGTTCGACGCGCGGCGTCTCCTCGTCGCTCGTCATGGTGCGCGGCAAGGTCCTCGTCGTCGCCGGGAGCGACAGCGGCGGCGGCGCCGGGATCCAGGCGGACATCAAGACCTGCCTCGCCCTCGGCGCGTTCGCGACGACCGCGATCACGGCGCTCACCGCGCAAAACACGCTCGGCGTGCACGGCGTGCATCCCACGCCGCTCGACTTCGTCGACGCGCAGATCGACGCCGTCGTCAGCGACCTCCCCCCCGACGCGGTGAAGACGGGCATGCTCGCGAACGCGGAGACGGTGACGCGCGTCGCGTCCGCGATTAAATCGCGCGCGCTGAAGAACGTCGTCGTGGACACGGTGATGATCGCAAAGGGCGGCGCGTCGCTCCTCGAGGCGGACGCGATCGGCGCGCTTCGCGGCGCGCTCATCCCTCTCGCGACGGTCATCACCCCGAACGTCCCGGAGGCCGCCGCGCTGCTCGGAATGGACGAGAAGGACTTCAACCGAGACGCGATGGAGTCGCGCTGTCGCGAGCTCGGGAAGCTGGGATGCGCGTGGGTGCTCCTCAAGGGTGGGCACGTCGTCGACGACCTCGCGTCCGCGACGGATCATCTCTACGACGTCCGAAACGATTTGATGCGTTCGTTCACCGCGCCGCGGATAACGACGCACAACACGCACGGCACGGGGTGCACGTTCGCGAGCGCGATCGCGGCGTCGCTGGCGCAGGGGATGGACGTCCCGTCCGCGGTGCGCCGAGCGAAGGCGTACGTCTCCGCCGCGATCGCGTCCAATCCCGGGTTCGGCTCCGGGCACGGCCCGCTGAACCACCTGCCGTTCTACGCCGCGAGCGCGGGGGGGCTCTCGGCGCTCAACACTGACCGGAGCTCGAGCGGAGACGACTCGGGGTCGAGCGGGGGCGACTCAGGGTCGAGAGGGTCGACTGAAAGGCCGTTCGATCGGCGCGCGCTGCGTCTGTACCTCGTCACGTGCGACGCGTTGACGGAGGATAAATTGCGCGACGCGCTCGCCGCGGGGGTCACGATGGTGCAGATGCGCGATAAGACGACCGCGTCGACGCGCGAGTTGATCGCCAAGGCGCGCGCGATGAAACGCGTCTGCGACGCCGCCGGGGTCCCGTTCATCGTGAACGACCGCGTCGACGTCGCGATCGCGGTGGACGCGTGCGGCGTGCACTTGGGGCAGTCGGACGCGCCGTGCTCGTTCGCGAGGGCGCTGCTGGGACCCGGGAAGATCGTGGGCGTCAGCGCGCGGACGCCGGAGCTCGCGTCCGAGGCGAAGCGCGACGGCGCGGACTACGTCGGCAGCGGCGCGTGTTTCGGGACGGAGAGCAAGGGCGACGCGAAGGTCATCGGGTTGGAGGGCGTGCGCGCGGTGGCGGAGCGGTGCGAGGCGTTGGATCTGCCCGTCGTCGCTATCGGGGGGATCACGACGGAGACGGGAAAGAGAGCGCGAGAGGAGACGCGCGCGGACGGGATCGCGGTCATCTCGTGCGTCGCGAACGCGCCGGACGTCGCCGCCGCGGTGAGAGCGCTGCTCTGAGGAGGGAGGGTCGTCGGCTGGGTGTATAACGTTTATATTGAGATACGAGTATAGATAATAGACTACCCATCGCGACGCGCGACGCCGTTCCCCCTCCCTCGCCTCCGCGATGCGCGTCGTGATGACCCTAAAGAAGGTTCCTTATTCTCTACGCGTGCGCGGCGAAGAAATCGCGCTCGAGCTCCATCGCGCGCATATAGTTGGCCTCCACGCCGCCGCCGGCGACGATGTCCTGAGGGCCATTCCATACAAAAAACATTCACCGGTCAGTTGAAAGGGGCCCACGCGATCAAATGTTGAAACCGAGCGATGGGTGAAAAACAAACGTTTGTATAGAACGCACCTCCGGCAACAGCGCCTCCAACGACGCCGCCAGCGCCCCCATCTCGTCCCCGCCGTACGCGTCGAACCACTCTCTGTACGCGCACCCCTCCGCGACGAGCCCGCGGTCGAGGTAGTCCCTCCCGAGCGCCGCGTACAGGCGCATGCACGGCGTCATCCCCGCGACGAGCTCGTCCATGGGCACGTCCGGCGATTGCAGCGCGGTGAGGAAATCGACGTACGCTCTCGACGCGGGGTGTATCGTCTCGAGCGCGCCGTCGTCGACGCCCCACCGCGCGCACGCGTCCTCGTGAAGCTTGAGCTCGTCCAAGACGCCGCCGATGAGCGCGTGGAACGTGCGCTGCTGCTCGATCCCGGGCGCGCGCGCGAGCGCGGACGCGTACGCGCGGTTGAAGTGGAAGAGAAAGTAGCGATCTTGCGACAGAAACGCGACGTACTTCGCGCGAGGGAGCGTCCCGTTCGCCATCTGCGACACGAACGAGGACGCGGCGGTCATGTCCGCGTAGTTGGCGCGGACGGACGGGTGGTCGAAGAGACGACGCGCGGCGGTGGGGGGGGTCTCGGACGGCGCCATGTCGACCGAGCCTACGAGCGCCGCGCCGCGCCGCGCGACTGACGCCGAGCGTTCTGTTGCTTATGCGAAAAAGTGCATTTCGCTTTTTGGGCTCTCGGCGGGGCCAAGAGCCCGAGACCGCGGCGAAGAGCGTAGTACAGCATCGGCAAAATCCTGACTGAGACTCCATACGTACTGTATGATACGAACTCGGTTTCGGCGCCGCCTTTTTGCCTTCCCGAAACCTAATCGAGACGGGATAACCGACGCGACGTCGACGTCTAGGTCGTCACAGCCGAACGCACGGCAACGAGTGGCACGCAGGAATTCTCTCCTCCCGCGGCCTGAGACACATCGTCCGAACTTGACCGAGGTAATTCTCGCGCAAGGATCGCCGTGCGCTTCGACGACTCGCTCGCGTCGACGTCCAACAGCACGCCGACGACGCGATCGCCGCCGATCGAAAATTAACCCACCCCTCAACAGTCGACTTCATCAAACCTCTGCGACTACCGCTCCCTCGCGATGGCCGGCGAGACGTACGGATGGCTGTACGCGTTCATCGCGATGTACGCGCTGTCCTCCATGGCCGCGGCGTCGTACGCGCGGATCCGTAACTCCTCCCCGGAGAACGACTCCGGGAGCTCCATGAAGAATCACTTCGGCGCGGGCAAAGGGCTCAACGGTCTCGCGCTCTTCTTCACGCTCTCCGCGTCGCTCTTCTCCGCGTACTCCGTGGAAGGCATCGCGTGGGAGGCGTGGTTCAAGGGCTGGTTCGCCACGCGCTGGATCCCCGCGGGCGTCGGCGTGTACATGTGCTTCCTGATCCTCGCACCGCGCCTCAACGCGCTCGGGCAGCAACGCGGCTACCTCACCATCTCGGAGGTGGTCTACGACCGATTCAGCGCGCCGAACAGCGCGTCGCACGTCACCGCGCATCTCCTCCGAATCATCACCTACGGCTGCATGCTCCTGCCGATCTTCACGTACCAAGTCTCGCAGTTCGTGTCGTGCGGGAAGATCGCGGAGGCGTTCACCGACGGCGAAGTCAGCGAGACGGGAGGCATCCTCATCTTCGCCGCCATCATGCTCTTCGTCGAGTCCATCGGCGGCTTACGCGCCGTCGCGTACACGGACATCATCCAGGGCGTCATGCTCATCATCGGATCCCTCATCTTCTTCATCGCGTCCGGGGTGGAGTTCGGTGGCCTCGCGAAGGCGAGGGACTACTTCGACGAGGTTGGGAAGTTCCAAACGATGTTGTCGACGGCCGGGAGCTGGTCCATCATCTCGTACACGTCCTTCGTGATGCGCGTCGCCGCCGCCGCGACGATGTTCCCGCACCTCGCGATGCGACTGTTCGTCGCGAAGAACAGCAAGATGCTCCAGCGCGGGCTCGCCGGGATGAACTTCACGTTCTTCTGGGTGCAGCTCAGCACGATGATCGCGGGCTGGACCGCGGTGTACGCGTTGAGAAACACGGCGACCGTCGCGGACATCTCTAACCAGCAGTCCATCTTCGGGCACCTCGCGCTCCAGCTGAAGACGTCGTCGCACTTTGGCGACTTCGCCGCGTCGCTGCTCGTCATGGCCGCGTTCGCCGCGATGGTCTCCACCGCGGACAGCGGCTTGCTCGCGTTCAGCACCATGCTCGTGAAGGACGTCTACCAGCCGTACGCGAATAAGGTTTGGAAAAACGCGCCGCAGGACGGCGCCACGCTGAAACGCATCGGCCTCGGCGCGTCCATCTGCGGCCTCGTCATCGGCCTGTGCCTGTCCATCTACAACGTCCGCGAGGGCAAGCCGGACATCACGGGCTTGTTCTCGATCCAGACGGTGACGCCGATTCACGCCATACCCACGGTGTGGGGCGGGTTGCACCTCCACTGGCTCTCCGGCGAGGCGTGCCTCGCCGGTCTCGTCGTCGGTCTCACGACGGGGACGTGGATGGTCCTCGATACGGACTTCAACGACAAGCGATCGATCGGTCTCGACGAGCACTCGACCGGGTGGAACACGTCCGTGTTCGCGTTCCTCGTCAACGTCGGCGTCGTTCTCCTCTTCACGATCGTCGAGAAGTTTATTCTCAAGCCGCCGAAGGCGACGCAAGCCTCGGGCGCGCGGCCGCTGTTCATCGGTACCAAGATCGACAAGATGATCTCGAACCCGGTCCCGTGGTTCTTCATGCTCTTCACGCTGATGGCCGCGTGCCCGTTCTGGTACGAGCCGGAGAGCACCGTGAAGTACGTCGGCGACGTGGCTGCGTACGCGTTCACGTCGTTGTTCTTCTCGTTTATCCTCGCGTTGATGGTGTGCGCGATGTACCTCACGCGTTGGGAGGATTTTAAGCCCGTCGGCGAGGAAGAGAAGCAGGTCGAGGAAGGCGCGGCGGAGAAGACCGCCGCCGCGCCGGCGGTCTCGAACAAGGCGTGAGCGTGAACGACGGATTCGTCCAGTCGGGCGCCGGCGACGAACGAGGCGTGAACGAACGTGAACGGATCGGATTCCACATGGGATTCCGGTCGGTTGGGGAAAAAAAAAAGACAAGAAAAAAAAATAACGGCACTGGGGGTGCCCGCGTCGCGGACGACGGTGTCGTCCGCGCGCCGGCTGAGAACATACCCTTTATCACCGGATTCTGGTAATTCAGACGACGGGAACGTGCTCCTCCGTCGCGTACACGTACTGTGCGCACGCATTCCATCGACGGGGGGTGTACCATGTAAAACATAGCCGCCGCTAAAAAAAAAAAGCGGCGCGAGAGCGATTATGTATCACCTTTTAATACCGAGTGACCTCTCGCGCTACACACGACACGTTAACCTCATGTACCTACACAATGCAATGCAATCGTCGTCGCGCTGTACATATTACAATATTACACACCGAGCCGCGCGCGCTCGCGACGCGAACGCGCTGCGCCTCGCTCGCTCACTCACTCGCTCACGCCCTCTGCGAATCCCTCGACGCCGCGTGCAACGCGTCGAAAAACGCAACCTGAAACGACGCGGGCCCGTCCACCCCCCGCCCCTTATCCTGCGTCGCGCTCGCGACGCGTCGGTACCACGCGCACGCGGCTCGCACCGGGTCACCCTCCCCGCCTTCGTTCCTGAGCCCGACGGCCGCGACGAACGTCGCGATGACGCCGCCGAGGCAGCACCCCGCCCCCGTCCACTCGCGAAGCCACGCGCACGAGTCGTCTCTGCGGGAAGTGATGTGATCGGTCAGTTTAGGGAGTTGAAAGGCGTCAGTTGGAGTTGAAAGGCGCCGAGGGCGGGTATTGAAAGCGAGGGGTGGACGGAGAGACACGCCGGGAGATAAAGTTCTTAAGGATCGGCGTTCACCACTCGAACGCGGTCGTATGGGAACCAGTGTATAGAACGCGCCTGATCGCCCACGGCCTGCCGTCGCCGTGGTACGCGCACGGAACGCCGTAATCGACGTCGCCCGTCATGACGACGTACGCGTCCGTCGCGTCGCTGAGCGTCTTCAGGCAGTTCAAGATGGTGATCTCGTCGCGGATCGCCTTCTCTCTCGCCGCCTCGCGCTTGGATACCGCCTTCGACGGCGACGACGGCGGCGAGAACGATCTCCCCGCGGCGGCGGCGTTCGACGCGACCTCGTTCTCCGCGGTGTCGGACGTGGTGACCCCCGCGGCGTCGCACAGCTTCATCTCCTCGTTCCGCAGCCCGTACATTCGCATCAGCGCCGCCATCTCGGACGCGTTCCCCTTGACCAGCGTGTGGATCGTGTTCGGCTTGCCGTTCATCCTGTAGTCGAGCCATCGCTTGACGTTTACGCCGCGCGCGTCCAATCCGCATCCGACGGGGTCGACGACCACGATGGACGCCGACGCCACCGCCGCCGCGATCGCCTCCGTCGTCGGCGTCCCGAAGTTCAGCAGCGTCGCGTCCACCTTGTCGCACGTCTCGGACGCCTCCGCGGGCGTCGTCGCGCCCATGATCGGCTTCGCGCCGGCCGCGAGCGCGACGTCGACGACTTTCGCGCACGTCGCCGCGTTGGCGATGAGTTGGACCTTTGGTCGCGTCGCGCCCGCCGCGGTGACGACCGCGGTCGTGGAATCGTCCGGGGACCAGTGCGCGGCGTTCCTCGGGCGCCGTCGCGGCTTGAAGATCTGCGGCTTCTTGCTCGGAAGCGCCGCGCCCGCGGGGCTCGCGGCGTCGCCGACGGACTGCCGCGGCGTGTTCGGGCGCGAACGGCGACGATCGCGCGCGTGCTCGGATAATCCGCCCAAGAGCTTGACTCCGACGACCGCGCCGAGCGCGGACGCGACGGAGCTGATCACCATCGGCGCGATGCCCTCGACGCCGCCGAACCCGGGGGCGTCGCCCTCGGTGACGGACCATTTCTTGTACCCCATCGCGACGCGCCCGGTGCGTGGGGTGCCTTCGAGAGTGTCCGCAACGCAATGCGATAAGATTTTTTCGCGGCAGAAAAACTTTTTGGCGCCAGATTCGTTCGCGCCCCGCCATGGACGCCGACGACGCGCCTCCCGCGTCCGACGCGTCCGAGCACAGGTCCCGCGCGCTGGGCGCCGCGATGGCGCGGCAGCGCGCGGCGGGTGGCGACGTCGCGTCGTCGGACGACCGCGACGGCGACGGCGACGCGTCGTCGTCGACGACGAGCGCATCGCGCGACGATGCCACGCCCGCGACGACGCGCCCGCCCCCTCCCCCGCCCTTGGCCCTCCCCGACGAGGTCGTGCTTCGCATCCTGAAGCACGCGCTGCCCGGCGACGCGTTCGGCACGTGGAGCGTCGGCGGACGCTTCCGCGCGCCGCACCGCGCGGCGACGCGCGGCGACGCGGACGCGAGCGCGACGACGACTTCGACGACGACGACTTCGACTTCGACGACGATGACTTCGACGACGACGACGACGCCGCGAGGGCCTCTGCGCCTGGTGTGCGCGCAGTGGCGGCGACTGCTCGACGCGTCGTGCGCGCACCTCGAGGCGAGACGCGCGGTCGTGTTCGGCGACGACGAGCTCGCGTCCCTCGCGCGCGTCGTCCACCCCGCGTGCCGACGCCTCACCCTCGAGGGCTCGCACGCGCACTGCGGCAGGCTCGCGCTGACGGACGCGGGGCTCCAGGCGCGTGTTTCAGTTGTGTTTCACCCGCCGCTACTCGGTTTCAACGCGCGATCGATCGCGTCCCCTCTTAACCGATTGACCGACGGCGTCGCCCTCCAGGCCGCGCTCTCGGCGCTCGGCGCGCACGCCGGACACGTCCGCGCGCTCGAGGTGACGCGGACCGGGATGCCGCTGCACGCCGTCTTCCGCGCGGCGTCGCGGTGCGTCGGGCTCAGGCGCGTTCTATACACTGGTCCCCATACGACCGCGTTCTCGTGGTGAACGCCGATCCTTAAGGACTTTTCCCGGCGATTCTCTCCGCCCATCCCTCGCTTTCAATCCCCGACCTCGACGCCTTTCAACTCCATCTGACACCTTTCAACTCCACCCCGACATCGCCTCAGAGAGCTCGTCGTCGACGGCGGGCGCGGCGACGCCGCCGGGTCCGGGTCCGCCGGGTCCGCCGGGTCCGCCGCCGCGTCGGGTCCGGGTCCGCCGATGGGCCCGTGGGAGAGCGCGATGCTGCACGACATCGAGCCCTCCGCGGAGCTCGCGCGCGCGGAGCTCGCGCGTCTTCTCCGTAAGGACGCCGTGGAGACGCTGACGCTGACGCGCATCCCCGACGACCCGAGCGCCCCCCCCCGCGACGCGCGATGGCGCGAGCGGCGGCGAGACGTCCTCGACGCGTTCGCGTCGACGCGCGCGCTGCGATCGCTCCGCGTCGCGCGCGTCAGCGACGACGTCGTCGACGGCGGCGGCCTCGGCGCGTCGATTCCGCCGTGCCTGGAGGAACTCGACGTCGACGTCGCGGACGGAGGCGCGGCGACGCTCGCGATCGCGCGGTCGCTCGCGCGCGACGCGCCGCCGTCGCTGTGGCGCGTGACGCTGCGCGGCGCGGCGGTGGGCGTCGCGGGCGCGCTGGCGATGGACGACGCGCTGTCGCGGCGGCGGAGGGAAGGCCGCGCGCTGTTCCTTCGGCTCGGGCTGACGGATCGCGAGGGCGAGAAGACGCTGAAAGGGGTCATCGTGCGACGCGTGCTCGAGCGGTGGCAGCAGCGACGCGAACGCGAACGCGACGATTCCAGTTCATGTTCCGGGTCCGTGGACGCCGCGATGGCGACGATGGCGACGACGACGACGCGCGACGACGAGGAGTTGAAGCTCTCCGCGGACGCCCCCTTCGGCGGCGGCGGCGACGACGACCGACGCGAACGCGAAGAAGAGGGCACGGACCTCCACGACATGTTTCTCGGGTGGTCGCCGCGGCGGCTCGCGCGCGAGGTCGCGTCGTACATGGCGCAGTCCGAAGTCTTCGCGCACGAGATCCAGCGCGACGACGCCGACGCGACGACGGATGACCTCGACGACCCCGACGACCGGTGTGCGCGCGCGGAGGAGGAAGAGGAGGACGCGAGGTGCGCGGCGATGGTGTGCGCGAGGTGCGTTCAGGGTGACAAAAAGTTAGTTTTTCACCCGTATTGCCCGGTTTCATCAACATTTGATCGCGTCCCCTTTCAACAAATGACCGGTGAACTTTTTTTGTACGGCGGAATGGCCCTCATCATGCAGCCTCTTTGGTTTTCGCGAGACGCACCGCGAGCGCGCGGCGTGGGTCGCCGCCGCGCGATGGATGCGGCGCCTTCCGAAGGCGGACCTCGCGCTCAGGGCGCGCGCGGCGCGCGCGCTCGCGCGCGAGCGGTTCTTCCCTCTCGCGTTGCTGCTATTGCAGGACGTCGAGAAGAGGGTGTTCGACGGGAAGCCGCTGCCGCGCGGCGCGTGGCGAGGTGACGAGACCGCCGACGCGACCCACCCCTTTCGCGCGTCGCGTCGCGTCGCGCGCCGTCTCTTATCATGAGGCGTTCTTTGGCGCGCTATCATACGAATCACTCACCAATCACGTGCCGCCCGCGTGAATGATGCCACGTGTACTCACTCAAACCAATCGCAGGCCACCGCGACGGCGACGTGGACGCCTTCGCGCGCGCGGCGCGAACCGTCGTCGAGAGCGTCCGCGCGCTCGGCGCGGACGCGTTCGACCACGCCTCCGCGCGGTCGCTCGCGCTCATCGCGCTCCCCGTCGCGATCGCGGCGGCCGCGCGGGACGTCCCGTCGTTCGTTCTCGACGCCGTCCACGACGCCGTGTGCGCGTTGATCGTGGCGAAGGACCTCTGCCAACGCGCCTTCGTCGATCCCGCCGGGCGCCCGGAATCCAAGTCGCGCGCGGGACCGGGGGGGGGCGCCCCCGCGGTGGAGAAGTCGACGTTCGGCGCGTTGTTTCTCCGCGGCGGCGGCGCGTGGGCGTGCCTCGAGGCGCTCCGGCTGCTCCTCGAGGACGCGGTCCGGCCGTGCGCGCGCGAGACGTACCTACGACGCGACTGGGACCACGCGTTCCAGCTGCACGAGATTCTCACGCCGCCGTTTCTCGAGTGTTGGGCGACGAGCGGGGTTATTAACGGCGCCGCTAACGACGCGGACCCCCCGAGCGACGAGACGTCGATCGCGACCGCGAAAGTCGTCGCCGCGGGGTTGCGCGCGGTCCGCGGGCACGAGACGAGCACCGGCGACGCCGGCCTGCGGTCGCTCTCGAACGCGCTGACCGCCGCGGCGAGGCTGGCGCCGTCGGGCGAGGCGTGCGCGGAGCTCCACGCCGCGGTTGAGGATCTCTTCGCGCGTCGGAAATTCGCGCCGTTGACGCGCGGGCATGGCCGACGCTCTGTCGGCGGCCCCATCGCGTCGTGGCCGCAGTGGCTGTACGCGGTCGGCGCTCCGCCGCCGCTGGACGCGGCGGCGGCGAGCGCCGCGAGCGCGGCGCTCGCGGACGGCGCGGAGGAGTACGAGAGGCTCGAAGCGTCCGCGGCGTCGATTCGCGCCAAGATGTCGCGGCTCGGGGACGCGATGCGGTCGCTGACCGCGGACGTGCGGATCAGCACGCAGTTTCATCGCGAGCCCGCGAGGGCGCTGCTGCGCGAGGCGCACGCGGAGATGGGGTGGCGGCGCGAGGTAGCCGCGGCGGCGACGAGCGCGGAGGACGGAACGTCGACCTCATCAGTCGCCGACGGGGACGACGACGCGACCGCCGGAGAGTCGCCGTCGCCGTCGCCGTCGCCGCCGCGCGAGCGACACCACCACCACCACGTCCCGCATGGCGGCGGCGCGCAGGCGTTCATCCTCCCTCACGGCGGGCTCGAGTCGCCGTCCTCCGCGGCGGCGACGGCGTGGCGGCGGCGCGCGCCGCTCGTCTTGAGACGCGCGCCGCGCGAGGGGTGGGAAGGACGCGCGCGGGAGAAACTCAGGCGCGTTCTATCTCACACTGGTCCCCATACGGCCGCGTCGGCGTGGGGAACGCCGATCCTTAAGGACTTTTCCACCCGGCGTTTCTCTCCGCCCAGGGTCCCACGCTTTCAATCCCGTCACACCTCGACGCCTTTCAACTCCGCTTCTGACGCCTTTCAACTCCGCCCCGATATCATCGCTCGTACGGAACGACCCTCAGAGCGTTGCTGACGCACTGCACGCGCGCGGCGCCGTACGTCGCGGAGATGCCGCGGGGAGGCGGAGGGAGGGACGTCGCCGCGGGATGGTCGCGCGTGGACGACGTCGAGGACACCGGCGGCGGCGTGTTTCTTCACGAGTGGGAGGGGCGCGCGGCGGCGGCGGCGTTGGCGTGGTTTTTCCGCGGCGAAGACGAAAAACGCACACGCGGCGGCGAGGGCGAGGGCGAGGGCGAGGGCGAGGGCGAGGGAGCGCGCGCCGACGCGCTCGACGACGTGATGCGCGTGCTGGGGGTCACGGACGAGGAGCTTCCGGTGCGGGCGATGATGTCGCTCGGGAGCGGGCGCGGCGGCGCGGTGTTAGACGACGCCCTGAGGGCGAACCTTCTGTGTTAGGTGCGTTCTATACAAAAAAAGTTCACCGGTCAGTTGAAAGGGGGAGCGATCAAATGTTGAAACCGAGCGATGGGTGAAAAACTGAAAAACTTATAACGCGCCTTTAGTCGACAGTCAGGTGTAGCTCCCTCGGCGCGGCGCGTCTCACCCTTCCGTTGGCGAAACGACCCGGCGGGTCGTCGTCGCGCGCGCCACATCGACGCCGGCGCAGCGTCGGCGACGCGCGCGGACGACGATGGCGGACCCTCCCGAGGCCGAGGGCGACGCCCCCGAGGAGGGGACTCCGGTGGTGCGTCCCCCCGCCGTCGCGCGCCGCGCTCGCCTCCCCCCCCCTCCTTCGCCCCGCGGCGCCGGCCACTTTTGGCATCGATCGATTCCGGATCCCCGCTGACCGCGCGCCGTCCGTCCCCCGTCCCCGCAGTCCCCACCCCCGGAATTCGACCTGGAATGGCGCGCCATCGCGTTCGTGATGGAGGCCGGCAGCGAGGGCGTCGACGCGGAGGCGGTGAAGACCGCGCTCCTCGCGCTGGAGCCCGTCGAGCACGGCGACGGACGGCCGATCATGAGGTGCGTCGTCCGAGCGATTGAATTAATCCTCGCGAATGAATTCTCCCCGACCGAGGCTCGCCTCCCGCGTCGCCCGCTCACCCCCTTCCCCCATCTTCTCCGCGTCCCCCCCCCACCGCGCGCCGCGCAGCTACGGAACCGTATCCTACGACGAGCTCGTCTCCGCGGCGGGCGGCGCGGAGGAGGGCTCGCCGCTCAACGTCGTGCACGTCGCCATATCCGAAGCGAAGGAGGCGCACGACGCCTCGGAAGATCCAGACAAGGGCGAGTGGGCCGTGCCGTTCAACCTGCGCGCGGCGCTGTTCGACGCGAACGCGGAGAACGACGCCGCGACGCACAAGGCGGAGCTCGTCGCGCTCAGGCGCGCGGCGAAGGACGAGGCGAGGGAGGCGGTCAAAGCCGCGGAGGAGGACGTCGCGGCGAGGAGGAAAGAATCGATCGCCGCGGCGGAGGACGCCGTCGACGCGCCGCCGCCGACGGCGACCAGCGACCCGGTCAAAGAGGCGGACGAAGCCCTGGGCAACGCGGAGAAGGCGCTCAAGGCGGCGATGAAGGAGCTCGCGCGCAAAGAGCGTCTGATGACCGCGCCCGCGGCGATGACGCGCGCGTACGCGTTGGCGCCCGACTGGTCCGGGTCCGCGTCCGGCGGAGAGATCTCCGAGGTCATCTCCGGCCTCTCGGACGTCGTCGGCGGAGGGCTGAGACTGCGGAGCGTGATCAACGTCGCGCGCGCGCGGCTGCCGCCGCCGACGCCGCCGGAGCCGGAGGACAGCGCCGCGACGACGGCGCCGCCCGCGAGCGAGGATGGCGAGGAGACGACGGCGGAGGGCGCGGAGGGCGAAGACCCCGCCGGGGCTTCCGCGGAGGAGGCGTCGAAACCGCCGCCCGCGGAGGAAGAGGGCGAGCCCGAGCCGCCCGAGGTGGACGACCCGTACCCGCCGCTGACCGAGGCGCTGATGAACGCGCAGAGAGACGCGGAGATCGCGATGGAGTTCCACGCGCCGTGTCGATCGATCGCGGCGGTGCAAGCCGATTTCGACCGCGACGCGCCCACCCCAGACGCTACGACGCTCGCGACGAGAGTCGCGGAGTGTCTCACGTACACCGCGCTCGCGAACGCGCTGTACGCCAAGTGGCGCGCGCGGTGCACGCTCGAGGACGTCCCGAAGGTTTCGCGCCGCGCGGCGAGCGCGGATGATGATCATTTCGAAGACGACGACGTCGACCTGCGGACGTACCGCCAGCTGCTCGCGGGCGTGCCGCGCGAACGCGCCACGTGCGCGACGGTGCTCGACGCGATGATCGGCCAGGTCTGCGCGTCATCGTGCGACCCCGCGGACGTCGCGCTCGCCGCGGACGTCGCCGCCGCCGCCGCCGCGAAGGCTGCGATCGCGGAGGCGATGGCGACGGTCAAGCTCGACGCGATCCCAGAGCTCGGCGGCGTCGGCGTCGGCGGCGAGATGCTCTCGGGCGCGACGGGCGGCGGCGGCGGCGCCGTCGTCTGGGGCCGCACCACCGGCCGCGGCGGCGCGTCCGCCGACCACGTCACGCTGCTCCAGTCCGGCGACCGCGCGACGACGCTCAAGTCGACGTTCGGCCCCGGGACGCTCGCGAGCACGGTTTTCCGCGGCGACGAATCGAGCGCGCCGCTCGCGTCGGTGTGCGTGTTGGACCCGGACGACGTCGAGGAGCGCGCGTCGGAGTTTTCGTGCTCGATCGCGCCGGGCGTGGACCGATACCTGATGCCACCGAAGCCGGAGATGACCGCGGACGAGCGCGAGGTGCGCAAGACGCGCATGGCGGCGTGCCTGCCGTCGCCGGACACGCCGCTCGCGACGATCGAGCGTCACGAGATGCTCACCTTCGCGGCGGACGCGCTGCCGCGAGGGTACAAGGAGGACCACGGGAAGGAGCTCAAGCGCCGGCGGCACTGGGAGCCGCTCACGCGCGAGGCGTACGCGGCGCTGTACCACGCCGCGAGGCTCGACCTGAAGGGGACGCAGCTCAACTACTTCGCGCCCGAGGACGCGTTACTCGTGACGTTGCACGCGCCGAGGGAAGAGGACCCCGTGGAGGGGTACTGGGACGGCGACGCGCCGAGGGCGTTCACGTTCGCGGAGTACCACGCGCGGTACTTCGAGGCGGCGACCGCGAAGAAGGCGGCGGAGGACAAGGCGAGGGAGGAGGCGGAGGCTGCGGCGGCGATCGCCAAGGCGGAGATGGAGGAGGTGAGACTGCTTCCCATACGACCGCGTTCGCGTGGTGCACGCCGTTCCTTGAGGACTTTTCCCGTCGTCACTCTTCACCCGCGCTTCCCTTTCAACGTTTGACCGGTAAGACGTTCGACTGACCGATCGCTTCACCCACGCAGGCGAGGCGCGTCGCGGAGGAGGCGGGGGAGGACTTCGACGAGGAAAACTGGGGCAAGCCCGCGAAGATCACGGAGGAGAGCGACGACGACGTCGAGCGCGCCGCGGATGGCGTCGTGACCGACGCGGAGCTGTCCAAGGCGTCGGACCTCGCGTCGGAGCTCACGTCGGAGTTCTCCGCGATTTCGGCGAATCACGCGAAGGATTCCGTCGAGTGGGACCTCGTCCCGGATCTCCTCCCGACCGTAGCGTACTCCACGGAGGAGTCCACGCGCGCGCCGCCAATCGGCGAGCGACGGCAGTACCCCAGATGCGGCGCGATCGTGTCGTTCGACGCCTCCGGCGCGCCCACGGTCGTCGCGGGGGGCGTCACGTTGGGCCTGCGAGGCGACGCGCTCGAGGTGACGCTCGCCGACGAGACGGGCGCGTGCGTCGTCGTGCGTCGCGTCGCGGATGACCCGCCGCCGCCGCCGCCGGAGCCGGAGCTCGACGAGGACGGCAACCCGATCCCGCCGCCGGAGCCGGAAGCGCCGGAAGCACCGGAAGCGCCGGAGCTGGACGAGGACGGTAACCCGATCCCCGCGCCGGAGCCGACGCCGCCGCCCCCGCCGCCGCCGCGCCCGGTGCAAGTGCAGTACTCCGCCGCGAGCGGGCTGTGCGTCGGCGTGACGACGGAACGCGCGGTGCTCCAGAAGATGGTCGCGCCCGCGGGCGCGACCGCCGCGGGGACCGCGCCCGACGCGACCGTGGACCGCGCGACGCGCGCGTCTCGCGTGACGGAGACGTCGCGCGCGGTGCTCCCCGTTGGCGCGGTGGCGCGGTATCTCTCCGACGGCTCCGTGGAGGTGTTGCACCGCGACGGCGACGTCTCGAGGCGCGCCGCGGGCTCGAACGAGTGGATCGGGACGAACAACAACGGCACGCGGTGGGCGCAGGCGGACCCGTACCTCTTCACGCCGTCGCCTCCCGAGCCCGAGCTCGACGAGGACGGCAACCCGGTGGAGAAGGAGAAGCCGCCGCCCGAGGAGGGCGAAGAAGCGGAAGAAGCGGAGCCGGCGGAGCCGTTTGATCCGACGCCGTACGTCGTCGTCCCGGACCCGACCTGGGTCGACGACATCGGCTCGTCCACGCAGATCGATCCGGACAGCATGGCGAAGGTGACGACGCGCAGCGACCTCGTGATGATCGTCGAACACGAGACGAAGAGCACGCTCGTGTACCACGCGGACGGCACGCGCGCGGTGTGCGCGCCGAGCGAAGGATGCGCGTGGAGAATTGAAAAGGAGGGGTTCGCCGCGGTGCAGCAGACGCGAAGCGTCGGCGTCGACGGCGACGTCGTCGTCGACCTCGCGTCCGCGATCGCGACCGCGGACGTCGACGGCGTCGTCGTCCTGACGCTCGCCGACGGCAGCGTCCTCGCGACGGAGGTGTCCGGGCAGATTGCCTACGCGCCGGCGTGGTTGGAGACGCCGGAGGCGGCGGCGAGAGGTGCGTTCTATACACTGGTTCCCATACGACCGTGTTGGCGTGGTGAAGGCCGATCCTTAAGGACTTTTCCCGGCGTTTCTCTCCGCTCATCCCTCGCTTTCAATCCCCACCCTCGACGCCTTTGAACGCCAACTGACGCCTTTGAACTCCACCCCGACATCAGACGCGTTGCGCGGGGACGTTCGCGGGGTGTTTTTGTTCAACATCGAGCGTTCGTCGATGCTGTTCGGGGACGCGAGCGGGGACCCGACGGGGGGGTTCAAGGTGAAGAACGACGGCACGCTCGGCGCGTTCATTCCCCCGCAGGAAGACCCGAGTTGGATGACGTCGTACAAGGAGTCGATCGCGTTCAAGGAGAAGTCGCCGAAATCCGAGCCGAAATCCGAGCCGGAGCCGGATTCGGAAAAAGAGATCACTTCGCCGGCGCCCAAGTCGGAGCCGCCCGAGGAGGTGGACGAGTACGCCGGTCTCACGCCGTGGGAGAAGGCGGAGTTGAAGATGCAAAAGAAGAAGAAAAAGATTGAGATCAAACGCAGAATGGTCGAGGAAGAGGAAGCGATGGAGGCGCGGACGCGAGAGATCGTCGCCAGGGGCGGCCAGGCTGGGGGCTTTTTGTCCAGCACGGCGGCGCATCGCGCGGCGAGGATCGCCGCGAGGCGCATGGTGCGCGAGAGCTCCATCTCGATCAAAGCCCCGGACGTCGCGCCGCGTCTCTTCGTGGTCTACCCCGACCAGGAGTGCTTCTTCGAGGTGCTCTCCGAGCGCGCGTTCGCGCAGTACGCGCGCTCGCGGTCGGCGGACGCGTCGTGCACGGTGACCAAGGCGAAAGTCGCCGGGACGGAGCCCGGGGTGCTGTCGCACACGTACCTCACGCCGCTTCGTCTTCCGCAGATGCCGGGCGATCGCGTGGAGCCGGTGCCCGTCGCGCCCGCGAAGCCGTCCCGACCCGCGAGCGCGGGGCCGACGATCCCGTCGCTTCGCCTTCCGTCCAAGCCGCAGTTCCCCGCGCCGCCGAAGAGGATGGAGATTCCGCGAATCACCGCAATCGCGCCGACGATGCCGCCGCCGCCCGCGGACGCGGCGGCGTTCGTCTTCAAGCAGGTGATCGAGTACCCCGACAACGGCGCCACCGCGGCGGCGCTGTTGGACCGCTCGCTTCTTCAGCACGCCAAGGCGAATATCGAGGGCGCGAAGATTCTCCCGGAGTCGTACGAGCTCACCGAACGAAGCCTCCGCGACGGCGTCATCACGCTCGCGATGGAAAACCTCGCGGACCAGATCGTCAAGGCGCGCGTGGAGAAGGAGGAGGCGTACGAGAAGCGCATCGCGCGTGAACGCCAACTCGCGGAGGCGAAGGAGCAGGCGGAGTGGGAGGCTGCGCAGGCGGAGGCGGCGAAGGTGTTGAACCGCAAGGTGGCGCGGACGGATCGCGTCTTCGAGCCGACGCCGCGGCCGATGTTCCCGCCGTGCAACTTTTTCGCGAGCGAGGAGGGGACGCGCACGCTGGAGCTGCTCAAGACGCAGCCGCCCGTCGTCGCGCTGCCGAAGAAGGTGAAAGGCAAATTCGACCTCCCCGTCGGCGTCACCGCGGCGCGTCACGAGCCGGACGCGAGCCCGCGCGCGCCCGCGCCGCGGCGCAGCGCGACGGCGGAGCTCGCCGCGCGCGGCGGCGACCTTCGACCGCCGGCGCCGATGGTGGCGAGCACCGCGCAGTCGCGCGCGCGCGCGCGGCAAGACGCCGCGCTCGCGTCGGACGGCTACAGCGGGCCGTCGCACGGCGATCCGGGCGCGGTGTGGGCGGCGTCGCTGCGCGACGTCGTCTCCTCGGGCGCGGTGCCGGATGGAAGAGACCGCGCGTGGATGCCGTCGGGGCACGCGACGAAGTGGGAGGGCGCGGACGTGTATCAGAGCGTGAACGCGATCGAGGTCAAGACGAACAACGGGTCGCGCGAGCACGCGCGCACGGACTTCATGGGAAGAGTGAGGCCGCAACTCGCGCCGGAGCAGTACTACAAGAGCGTCGCGCGCTCCGGGTATAACCTTCGACACGACGAGATCGAGGGCCCGGTGAAGCGGCCGCTTCGGTCCGCGGCCATCTCGCTGGACACCAACACCAGAGGGCGGTTCGCGCCGCAGTTTGAGCTGTCCCCCGCGCACGTGCACTTCGGCGGCGTGACGAGCGGCAACGCTGTGGCGAGAACCGCGGAGCTCCTCAACGTCTCGTTCGACCTCGGGCGGTTCCACCTGCGGCAGCCGGATCCGTCGTCGCCGTTTTACGTCGAGTACAAGCCGGGGTTCGTGAACCCCGGGCTGGCGCGGAAGCTGAAGATTTACTGCCACGCGACGGAGCCCGGAGAGCACGTCGGGGAGGTGGTGATCACGACGGAGAAGCAAATTTTCACGCTGACGCTCAGCGCCAAGGTGCTCGCGACGCGAGCCGACGCGCACGCGCACGCGGCGGCGGCGTACGAGAGGATATCTCGCGACGACGGATACGGCGACGACCGATACGACGACGACGCGGCGATGGAGCAGGATCCGTTCGAGGGTGGTTCGAACAGCCTCGGCGGCGGAGCGGGCGGCGTGAGAACACCGGGGGTCCCGCCGAGCCTGCGGTCGCGGACGCGACCGGAGCTCGACGAGCGCGCGACGCTGGAGGAGATGCGCGACCGCGAGCTCATCGCGTCGAGGCGATGAGAGAAGAGATTTTATTTTCTCGCAGCCTTCGACGCCCGCCCGCCGTGTCATGATATTTAAGATACTACATTACATCACTATCATACTACGTATCTATCCGCGACAAACGTATCGCTCGATGAAGCCCGCGACGCCGACGCTCGTCGCCCCCGGCTCGTCCTCGTGCGTCGCGTGCGACGCGTTTGGGAACACGACCATCTGAAACTTCCCCTGCATCTGCGCCACGGTCAAGTCCACGTCGAGTCGGTCGGTGCCCGCGAGCAGCAGGAGTTTCGGCGTCTTCACCTCCACGAAGAGCTTGGAGAGGCCGGCGTACCACCCGTCCCAGTGCGGCCGCGTCTTCGCGACGTCCGTGCGCCACCGCAGATGAGATCCCGAGGCTTCGTCGGAGGCTTCGCGCAGCTGCGACGTCGGGGTTGAGTTGAAAGGCGTCAGACGGAGTTGAAAGGCGCCGAGGGCGGGGATTGAAAGCGAGGGACCCTGGGCGGAGAGAGACGACGGCAAAAGTCCTTAAGGAACGGCGTTCACCAAGCCGACGGGGTCGTATGGGGACCAGTGTGAGATAGAACGCACCTGCGACGGGAACGACGCCGCCGCGCTGTGAACGTTCTTCGTGACCCCGCCCGCTCGGACCGCCCACTCGATCGCCGTCCGCGCGCACGCGAACCGACGCGGGCGCGCCGCCATCGCGACCTCCGCGCGATTGAACGACTCGACCGCGGTGCCCTCCACGACGTCGACGACGACGAGGCCGGCGACGCGGACGACGCGCGCGCGCGGGTTCGCGGCGTCTTCTCTCGCGGCGTCGTCTTCTCTCGCCTTCGTCATCATCGCCGCCGCCGCGCGCGTCGCGATCGCGCCGCCCATGCTGTGCCCGAGGAGCACGACCTTTCTCCCGGTGCCGCCGTACAGCTGCGTCGTCACCGCGACGACGTCCGCGACGAGACGCTCGGCGGAGAAGTCGACGCCGGCGGCGCCCGGGGCGCCGTCGGCGTCGGCGTCGTTCTCGCAGCGCTCGTCCTCGGTCTTCGTCGCGCCGTGCCCTCGAAGGTCCATCGCGACGACGACGCACCTCGCCCTCTTCGACGTCCGACGTTTCATCTCCTGCGCGAACCGCGCGAACGACAACGCGGTGTACGGGCACCCGTGCAGGCAGAAGAGCACGGGGACGGTCGCGTCGTCGTCGTCGTCGTCGTCGTTTGGTAACGTCGAATCTGATGAATCCCCCTCGTCGCGCGTCGTCGGACGCGAGACGTACACGCGGAAGACGTCGTTCGTGCCGCGCACTCGGACGTCGTGGCACTCGTCGAAGCACTCGCGCCATCCCACGGGGTCGCAGTGCGACCGCGGCGGCGGCGGCGGCGGCGGCATGAGCGTCGACTCCGCGCCGATCGGCGTCGGATTTTCGTCGCTCGCGCGCCGCCCGCCGCGCGCGTCGTCGACGCCGAACCCATCACGATGACGACGAGACGCGCGCGGCGGCGGCGGCGGCATGGCGTCGCGCGAGCCCGGCTGCGGCACCCCCGCCCACGGCGCGCGCGTCCACGAGGGGTTCGGGTCCGGCGGGTCCATCCCGTCGGACCCGCGCGCGCGCGCCTCGGCGCCTCCGCGAGTGCGCGCGCGATCCGCGCTCGCGCCTCGGCGCCTCCGCGAGTGCGCGCGCGATCCGCGCTCGCGCCGCGCGCTTTTTGAGAGGTCGACCTCTTCTCTTGACCAGTCAGCGCCGCCGACTGGACGACGCGTCGTCATCATTCGATGACGTTCTCGCGCCGCGTGCGCTCCCGCCGCACACACACGCGCGCGCGCCCTTCCCTGGACGCTCCCACGAGAACCATGTCGGCCGCGACCGCGGCCGGTTCTAAAGGCTTCAGCGCGCAGCCCGGGAGCGCGACCGGCGCGACGACGCCGTTCGCGACGGTGAACGTCTCGCCGTTCTTGTGGTGCGCGACCCGCGCGACCCTCCCGTCCCTCCGCCGCGAGATCTTGTTTCTATTCGCCACCTGGCGGCTCCTCCCGCGCGAGCCTCGCCTCGCGACGACGGGGCGACGCGGACGACGACGCGAGCGCGACGGCCGCGCGTTTCGCGTCGCGTCCGCGCCGCGACGTCGCGCGCCGCGCGCGCGCGCGCGCGCGGGCTCGCCCCCGCGGCCGCGAGACCCGCCGCGGCGGACCGGACGCCGCGGGAAAAAAAAAGAAGAGGACTCGTCGCGATCTCGCCCCCGCCCCCGACCCCCCCCCATCTCATCTCATCTCACGCGACCCTCCCCTCTGGGCGTCCCGCCCGCGCTCGCAGGAAGACGTGGAACCTCGTCTCCGACGCGTCGAGCGACCACATCATCTCGTGGAGCGCGAACGGGCGGACGTTCACGGTCTGGCAGCCGGACCTCCTCGAGACGGAGCATCTTCCGAACACGTTCAAGCACAGCAACTTCGCGTCGTTCGTGAGGCAGCTGAACAACTACGGGTTCAGGAAATGCCACAGCGACCGGTTCGAGTTTGGCGTGGAGGGGTTCGAGCAAGGGAAGCCGGAGCTCTTGACGTCGCTTCGGAGGCACGACGCGCCGAGAAACAAAAAGGGAGGAGACGCTAAGGGAGGAGGTGGGAAAGCGGCGGCGGGGTCGGCGTCGGCGGCGAACGCGCGCGGCGGCGGCGGCGCCAAGAAGAAGAACTTGATGGAGGGCACGCCCGACCACGGCGCGCAGTCGCTCGAGATCGGCGCGTACGGCGGGATCACGAGCGAGGTGGAGCAGCTCAAGCGCGACCGCCTTTTGCTTCTGAAGGAAGTCATGCGTCTTCGCGACGTGCAAAATAACACCACGGAGGAGGTGCGACGACTGAGCGCGCGTCTGCAGGCGACGGAGCAGTTCCAGTCGCAGATGATGTCGTTCGTCGAGGCGGTGCAGCAGCAGGGCGGCGGCGCGAACGGGCTCGCCGGGTCGTTTGGGAACGCGGACGAGATGATCGCGCGCTTCGGCGGGTCGTTGGGGCCGCGGAAGGCGGCGAGGAAGCGCCGGCAGATGTTTTTGCCGTCGTCGTCGTCGGGCGGCGGCGGCGGCGGATCAGGCGGCGGCGGCGGCGGCGGCGTCGCGGGCGCGGGCGTCGACGCCACGAGAAGCGCCATCCAGGAAGTCCAGGACGAGATCGACGAGATCGACGACGCGCTGATGACCGCGCAGGCGTACGGCCCCTTATCCCCGAACCCTCACGCGGCGATTCAGCTCCCGGAGAACGAAGGCGCGTGGCTCGACATGCTCGGCGGCGGCGACGACGACGACGCGCTCGTGGACGGAGTCGACCTCACCCCCGCGTCGCCCCCTCGCGTGCACGTCGGCGGGCAGCGCGTCAGACAGTCGCCGTTGATCACGTCGATGAGCGACGTCGACCTCGCGCTCGCGGCGGCGGCGTCGGGCGGGAGCGGCGGGAACAGCCCGGGGGAGACCGCCGTCGACGACGCCGACGCGGCGGATCAGGCGGCGGCGCGTCGGGGGGAACGACAACGGGACCCACATCCGCAGCCGGACGCGTTCGTCGCGAACATTCTCAACCGGGGACCGAGCCTGGAGAAGCAGCTGTCGTTGGGGTTCTTGGACCACATGGACAGCGCGGACATCGGCGAGATGGTTCGCGACATGAACATCGGCGTCGGGAGCGGCGGGTCGGACGAGTTCACGCGGCGCGTGGACGCGCTGTCAGACGTCATCAAGTGACAGTCGGACGGACGGAGGGACGCTCGCTCGGACGACGAGAGAAGGATGGTTCCAGAAAAAAAAAAGCAAACGAAACGCCAATCAACACACTTAGTAGCCCTCGAGGGCGACACGTCCACGACGATCAAGAAGCTGTACAGTGCGCCTCATGGAAGGACGGACGACACCACACCGAGCTCGCCGACGAGGCTCCGGGGCTGGACGACGAGTCTATATATCGCCTCCCCGCGAGCGCGCGTCGACGACCGAACCGAAAACGATGACGAACGGATTGACTGATGAACGACACACACACTGAACGATTACCGTCGCCGTGCTGCGACCGTTGACGAGTAGCACCGATAGACGAAAAAGACGCGCGTCGTCGCGATTCGAAACGAAACGGCGAGATGAGCATAGCGAGTAGCCGTCACCTTTCTGCTTATCGTTTTGAAATAAAAAACGCGAGCGACGCGAGTCGAAGAAGCGACGCCCGCCCGCGGCCGTTCGCGCGCGCGCAGCACCCGAACGACGCGTCGAACGAAACGCACACCCGCGTAGGTTACGTAGCCCGCCGACTGGGTTCTTTTCGCCCAGCTTCGCGCCACTCTCAGTCGTGTGGTAGTCACCGCCTCCTCGAAAAACAACATCCAAAGACCCATCCCCCTCCTCCTCGTAAAACAACATCCAAACACCCATCCCCCTCCTCTCCTCTTCCTCTTAATTAAAACACCCCCGGGATGATCCTGTACGGCACGAGCTCGCAGTACTTCGCCCAGTACTGGCCGTACTTCCGCCGGCACCGGATGTCGTCGCGGATCGATCGATCGATGAGCAACGCGGTGAGAAACTTAGGGTCGTTCCATACGAGCGAATGTCGGGGTGCGGTTGAAAGGCGTCAGTTGGAGTTGAAAGGCATCGATGGGGGGGATTGAAAGGGAGGGGTGGGCGGAGAGAGACGACGGCAAAAGTCCTTAAGGATCGGCGTCCACCTCGCGAACGGGGTCGTATGGGAACCAGTGTATAGAACGCACCGCGACGTACAGATACGGCGGCGCGACGTCGAACAGCGCGGGCGCGGTCCACAAGAAGCTCGCGGTGATCTCCGGGAGGTAGTGAAAGTGCCTCGCGAGCCCCCACCACCCGGACGCGAGGAGGATGGATTTCTTCGTCACGCGCTCGCCGTCCTTCGCGACGACGTACTCCGCGCGCACGATCGTCGGCTTTCGTCCCCAAATCTTCACCCGCCCGCCGCACGCGCGAAACGCCTGACGCTGTCGGTCGCTGTCGTAGTTGACCCAGATCGAGAGCAACCCGAGGAGTAAGATGGTCACCGCGAGCGGCGTACCCAGCGTCCGCCCCGGCGTCACGGACGTGATGTACAGCGCCGGGGACGCGTACACGACCGGGACCCAGACGAGGCACCCCCAACAGATGTAATACCCGGCGCGGTCGTGCTGAATGTCCATCGAGTTGAAGTACCCCGTCTCCCAGAGGAAAAACTTGAAGTTATACGCGGACATGAGCGCGACGCACACGGTGACGGAGTCCGCGACGTACCCGTCGCGTTCGTACTGGTGACACGCGAAGATGATGGGCAGCACCGCCCACGCCATCATCCCGAACCGGCAGTTGGTGAACTGCTTCAGGTTGAGCGGGCCTAGGAAAGGGTACAGCTCCATGCCCCACCAAAAGTCGTCGATCACGTTGCCGCTGCTGCCGCTGTCGTCGTCCGTCGGCGCGACGTGCCCTTTGATGAGCAGAAACACGCAGAACAGGACGGAGACCCAGACCATGCCGGCGACCATCTCGGGAAACAACGCGTACACCTCCGACGGCGTCGTCACCTCGAGTTTCCACAACGCGAAAAACGTCCCGATCGTGACGAGCAACGACTGCACGCCGTTCGCCTTGTACACCGGGACGTTCCCGTTCGCGGTTGTCATCGCCTCGAACCGCTTCCCGGGGAGGTACACCTGCAGAAGCGCCTCGAACAGCGCGTACGCGCCGAGGAACTTCCACGCGCGCGGCGACGTGGACGGCCACGCGTCGCGTACGTAATCGAACGCGCCCTTCTCGCGGAAGCCGTCGACGAGCGCGGCGAGCGACCCGTCCGTGTTTTGGAACGAGTGCACGCTGGAGAGAGAGAGAAGAGAGAGGAGGGACGCGCGGCGCGGTGGGGTGAGGGGAGACGGAAGGCGTGGGACGCCGGGAAGAGAAAGTCCTTAAGGAATGGCGTTCACCACGCGAACGGGGTCGTATGGGGACCAGTGTGGGACGCGTCAGCGAGCGGACGGAGGATGATCGACCGCCGCGACCGATCGCGGGCGGAGGGAGGCACGCACACTAACACGGACGCGATCGGCGACAAGACCATGATCATGATCGCGCCCAGCGCGCGGAGGAGCTTCGCGAACGCGCTCGCGTCGCGCGCGCTGCCGCTCCAGTCCGACGACGACGTCTTACGCTCGGCGGTCGCGCCGTCGTGATCGTCGTCGCCCCCGGTTCTGTGCGCGTACGATCGCGGGCTCGGGGGGAGCCCCTGCGCTTTTCGTCGCGTCGCCCGCGTCGTCGTCGGCATCGCGCGAGGTGGCGGTCGGCCGCGGGCACGGCGCGATCGATGGCGAGGCGCGCGTCGCGATCTGACGCTGTCGCGCTGGTCGTGGAAAAAAGCGCCGAAGCGGCGTCGCTTGCGGTGTTTTTCGAACGGTCCGCGCGAGGCGTCGCGCGGGGCGGCTCTGCTCGTACGGAGTACGACGTCGCGCGAGATCTGTATGGACGCTCAGTCAGGACGTCATCGAAAATACGCGTCCGCCAGCGCTCGACCAATCGCGTCGCGCGTTTCAGAGATCTTCGATTTCCCTTTCGGAAAAGCTCGCGGAGACGATGCCGGGCGAACGCGCGCGCGGACGCTCCGCAATCGCGCGCACATCGCAGCGCACGACGGCGAGTCCCCGACTCGAGTCTCGAATTCGTTAACCACACGACCATGTCCGCCATGACCGCGTCCTTCACGGTCGCGCCCGCGCACGCGCGCGCGACGGCTTCCATTCGCCGAGCCTCCGCGAAGCGCTCCGGCGCTCGCGCCGTGCGCAAATCCATCCGCGCCGAGGCGGTCAAGGAGAAGACGTCCACGCTCAACACGACCAAGTCCGACGCGGTGCGTGATGACGCGCCTTCCTCTCGTTCGCGCGGTCGTCGGCGCGCTCTCGCGATCGCGCGTCGTCGCGCGACGTCGCGTCGTCCGCGACGCGCGGGATACGACGCGCGTCGCGGACGACGCGATTGTTTCTCGCGAGATACACACACGACGTCGGTTTATCCATGGGCACCCGTCGCGCGACGGGTCCAGCGCGCGCGCCTCGCGCCGTCGCCGCGGGGTCTGCGATCCGCGTCGACGCGCGCGCGTCGTCCGCGCGCGCGTCCGCGCGTCGATCCGGCGCCGCGCGCTCGGTTCGCGCGACGCGCGCTCGGTTCGCGCGACGCGCGCGCGGACGACGCGGCCGATCTGCAGGCCCCCCCCCGCGACGTTCCGCCGCGCCCCCGCGACAACCAACCAACCCCGACCAGCAGAACCCTGAAAAAATCTCGTCTCGCTGGTCGACTCAGGCCCTCCCCCCCCCCCCCTCCTCCTCCTCCTCCTCCTCCTCCCTCTCGCAGATCTTCAAGGCTGCGCAGGACATCCTCCCCGGCGGCGTCAACTCCCCCGTCCGCGCGTTCAAGTCCGTCGGCGGCGGCCCGATCGTCTTCGAGTCCGTCAAGGACGCCTACGCGTTCGACGTCGACGGCAACAAGTACGTCGATTACGTCGGGTCCTGGGGTCCCGCCATCTGCGGCCACGCCAACGAGCGCGTCAACGCCAAGCTCAAGGCGCAGATCGACAAGGGCACCTCCTTCGGCGCGCCGTGCGAGCTCGAGAACGTTCTCGGGCAGATGGTGATCGACCGCGTCCCGTCCGTCGAGATGGTTCGATTCTGCAACTCGGGCACCGAGGCGCGTTCTATACACTGGTCCCCATACGACCCCGTTCGCGTGGTGAACGCCGATCCTTAAGGACTTTGCCCGGCGTGTCTCTCCGCCCACCCCTCGCTTTCAATCCCCGCCATCGACGCCTTTCAACTCCGCTTCTGACGCCTTTCAACTCCACCCCGACATCGCTTTGTATGGAACGGCCCTTAGGCGTGCCTCTCCGTGCTTCGCGTCATGCGCGCGCACACCGGACGCGACAAGATCATCAAGTTCGAGGGGTGCTACCACGGCCACGCGGACCCGTTCCTCGTGCAAGCTGGCTCCGGCGTCGCGACCCTCGGGCTTCCGGATTCCCCCGGCGTCCCGAAGGCGGCGACGAACACGACGTTGTGCGCGCCGTACAACGACCTCGACGCGGTGAAGAAGATCTTCGAGGAGAATAAGGGTGAGATCGCGGGCGTGATCCTCGAGCCCGTCGTGGGTAACTCCGGGTTCATCGTCCCGGATAAGTCTTTTCTCGAGGGCCTCCGCGAAGTCACGACGGCGAACGGCGCGTTGCTGTGCTTCGACGAGGTCATGACCGGGTTCAGGATCTCCAAGGGGTGCGCGCAGGAGTACTGGGGCGTGACCCCGGACCTCACGACGATGGGCAAGGTCATCGGCGGCGGCATGCCCGTCGGCGCGTACGGCGGCAAGAGGGAGATCATGGAGGTGGTCGCCCCCGCGGGGCCGATGTATCAGGCGGGCACGCTGTCGGGTAACCCGCTCGCGATGGTCGCCGGCATCGAGACGCTCGAGATTCTCGGCGAGGACGGCGCGTACGAGTACATGGACAAGATGACGACGAAGCTCATCAACGGCATCCTCGAGGCGGGCAAGGCGGCCGGGCACGAGGTGTGCGGCGGGAACATCCGCGGGATGTTTGGCCTCTTTTTCTGCGCCGGGCCGGTGAAGAACTTCGCCGACGCCACCAACTCGGACACGGACAAGTTCGCGAGGTGGCACCGGGGGATGCTCGAGGAGGGCGTCTACCTCGCGCCGTCGCAGTACGAGGCTGGGTTCACCGGGCTCAAGCACACGGAGGAGGACATCGACTTCACGATCGAGGCGGCGAAGAAGGTGTTCGCGCGCATCTAAACATGAACAACGAGCGATTAATAATTTGCGTGTGATGAGACGACGACGAGAGACGAGCGAGACTTGAGGAGGACGCGCCGCGCGCGGCGAGAGGAGGACGAGCGACGAGTACATACCCTTAACCTTACCCACCCCTTCGTTCGGCGACCGCCGTCGGACGGAGTCGCGATGTCAACGAAACGGCGAGGACATCGATGGATTGATGCTTTTTTTCATCCACATCTCGTCCGTCCCGACGCGCGCGCCCTCCTCGGCGTCTCGCGACGCCGAGGTCGAGAGGCCGAGAAAACCACCAGACAGTGATGAGCTCTCTCCTCCTGTCGCGCGCCGACTCATCGACGATTCTTCATCAGACGCTCACGCACCGCGCGCGGGATGTCGACCGCCGCCCCTCCGGGCGCCGCCGCGAGCGCGTCGCTCGAGCCGAGCGGCGAAAAACCCCGCGCGCCGCCGCCGAAGCGCTTCGTCCGGAACCAGGCGCGTCGCGCGTCCGTCCCCGTCCCGTCGTCGTCCGCGCCGCCGCCCGCCGCGCCGCGTTTCATCAACGATGACGACGGGTGCCCTGCCCTTCCTTCCTTCGCCGCCCTGACCGCCCCTCCTCCTCTCCCGTCCGCGGCTCGAAGTGCAGGTCCCCCAGGACATCCTCGACGACCCCGCGCTGAAAGCCGCCATCGCGGTGCTCCCCGCCAACTACAGCTTCGAGGTGGAGAAGACGGTCTGGAGGCTCCGCCGCGCGCGCGCGAGATCCGTCGCGCTGCAGTTCCCCGAGGGCCTCCTGCTCTACGCGACGACGCTCGCGGACATCTTCCAGACCTTCGTCCCCGCGATCGAGGACGTCGTCGTCCTCGGCGACGTCACCTACGGCGCGTGCTGCGTCGACGACCACACCGCGGCGTCGCTGGGGTGCGACTTTCTCGTGCACTACGGACACTCGTGCCTGGTGCCCGTGGACGTGACGTCGATCGATTGCCTCTACGTCTTCGTCGACATCGCGTTCGACGTCGCTCACCTGAGCGACTGCGTCCGCGCCAACTTCCCGCCGCCGGCGAACATCGCGCTCGCGGGGACGATCCAGTTCGCGAGCGCGATCAGAGACGCGCGGAAAGCGCTCGAGGGCGAGTACCCGTCGCTGTGCGTGCCGCAGTGCAAGCCGCTGTCGCCGGGCGAGACGTTGGGATGCACCGCGCCGACGCTCGCGAACGCGGAAGCCGTCGACGCCATCGTCTTCGTCGCGGACGGGCGGTTCCACCTCGAGGCGATCATGATCGCGAACCCGACCGTGCCCGCGTTCAGGTACGACCCGTACAACAGGGTGATGACGAGGGAGGAGTACGCGCACGCGGAGATGCGACGCGTCCGACGCGCGGCGGTGGAACGCGCGAGGGACCACGCGAGGACGTTTGGCGTCGTGTTGGGGACGCTCGGGAGGCAGGGCAACCCCGCGATCTTGGAGCACCTGGAGGCGCGATTGAAGGCGAAAGGGTTGAAGTACGTCGTGTTTCTCATCTCCGAGATGAACCCCGCGAAGATGGCGCTGCTGAAGGGCGCGGACGCGTTCGTGCAGATCGCGTGCCCGCGGCTGAGCATCGACTGGGGCGAGGATTTCACCAAGCCGGTGCTGACGCCGTACGAGTGCGAAGTCGCGCTCGGGTTCGCGACGCCGTGGTGGGAGCTCGAGGGCGTCGCGCCCGGGGAGGCGAACGCGCCGTACCCGATGGATTACTACGCGAAGGACGGGGGGGCGTGGACGTCGAGTTACGTCAAGACGCGGCCGCGGCGGCGTCCCGGGGGGGCGGCGGCGGCGGCGGCGGCGGCGGCGAAGGGGGAGGGGGAGGGAGAGGACGTCGTCGCGGCGGCGTGAGGAGGGTGCCGTGGGCTGGCGACGACGCGACGACGACGCCGCGCGCGGACGCCGAGACGCGTAGCATGATATCATTAGGACCTAGTAGCCGCGATAGATAGCGACGGCGGCGTCGGAAGAGTAGACGAGTAAAAACTGACGCCCGTCCTCGCGAAGAAGGAGAGCCAAAAGAATACACGGCCTCGCACTCTGGACGATGCACACAGCATCGAACGAATCGCGCGCGTCGTCAGACGCACGCGCGCGCGCGATGCGTCGACACGCCGCGGCGGCGGGTTCGGCCTCGACGACGTCGCGGGCGTTTCTTCGGTACCTCCGCGGCGATGGCGTCGAGGCGCTCGCGACCGTCGCGCGCGACGACGCCGCCGCGAGGCGCGCGCTCGCGACGACGACGACGGCGAGGGCGGCGTCGACGACGACGACGCGCGATTTGACGTCGGACGCGCCGTCTCTGTCGCGCTGGTGCGCGTCGCCGTTCGTCGCGTCGTGGCGCGGGTTCGCGGCCTTGGGTGCGCATCGTCCGGCGGGCGGTGGGCATGATGCTGACGGCGGCGGTTGCGGAGGGCGTGGAGCGGGCGGGCGGGCGCCGGGGAAGCCGTTCAATCCCCGGCTGGTGAACTCCGAGCTGAAAGCCGCGAGGAGCGCGGACGATATTCTGTCCATCGTCGCCGCTGGAGGAGAGCGTCTCGATTTCATCAAC